AACCCTGCAGCTTCATCGGCTGGCACAGCGCCTGGCACACGGTTACGGTTCCATGAGCATCTACTCAAATCCAACAGCTCTGACTTCCTCAACTCCTACAAACCAGGGCCGGCTCCACATGGCAGTGGACGGGCAGGAAGCACTCTGGTTGTGTGTTCCCTCCTCGACCCACCACCTTCCAACTCCACAGCATTTTCACTGTTTTCACATCTAACATTAGGACGTGTCTCACTGGAAAATCAGATTTAGCACCCCTGACTCTAGTTAAAAGATGGGGGAAAACATCCCTCCGCTTTTCTCCCTATGGAAACGTTGGGAGATAGGAGACTAGAAGAATACTATTCTCCAGGTAACAGTCCCCAGATAAAGGATCTCCTTGTGGGGAGCCCTTTCAGCTCTCGTTTGCTCACTCTTTTCATTTTCACTTTAGAAAGGAAGCGGGAATTAGGTCGAAGCAATTCAGTAACACTGCAAAATTCTCAGGGTTATAAATAGCCTCTCGCTCTACCATTCAGTGTCACTATAGAGTTCAAGAGCAAACAGCCAAGATGAGGGAGCGGTGGTTCCACATCCAGGCCCAGAAGGCGAAGAAGTAATCAACCCCTTCTGATTAAACGACTCTGCATCCCCCCCTCCCACCCCCTTTCAAGTATTACAGATATAAAGATGATTGGGAAAGCTCTAAATGTCACCAAACAGGAGAGAGGCACACACTGATCTGGGGAAGATAATTCTATACTCTAAGGCAGGAAAATGAAAGCCCAGGTTTTCAAAGGCAAAGTCGGGGAAACAAGAGAAAAACAGGACCTTCCGTGTCTCCAATGAGTGTTCTTTAAGTGGCTTCTGGAAGGTGTGCTTATAAAATCAGCACAGTTACAAAAGGCCCCACAAAGCTCCATCAATCAATCACCCCTGCAGGGACGGCTCCAGGGAGATGGATTCTGAGAGCCCAGCGGAAAGGAAGTGAAAGACAATCCCTCCCCATTAGTAAGGAATTCAGATGGAGGAAGGCCAGAAGGCTCCAGCTCCGCACTCTCCTCCCCTCATTCCTTTAAGGATAAGGATTGACGGGTGCTTTTGTTCAGCTCTTTTGCTTCTGATTCGGTGGGGGAGGCATGGGTGAGTTTGGTTTATGTTTCCTGCAAGAGAAAGCACCGCTCCAGGAAGGCAACCAGAGGTCAAACCCTCTTTCTAATCGAGAGCAGAATCTCAACAGAGGCTTCTCCCTCTGAAATCTTCTGCAGTGAGAAGTGACTTAACTTCCCTTAGTTCGGACCCCTGAATGAGGGTGAGACTCTAAGGTACAGGGAGGGAAACTGGGTTCGAAGAGTCAGGTCCTGACATTTACTGCTAGAAACACCGAGATGGACCATCATACCAATGGCAGCTGAGATTTCTCCCTTCCGTTGAAATTTGTTGGACACAAGACTCACCCAAACACGTAGTTAAAAGCCACTAACTTAGAGCCACAAGGGCAGTGAGGAAGGGCGTGGGAACAGGGTAACTGTTTGGGCTTCTTCTCACGTAACACCTACCCTAAGAAGCACTCAGCTCTCCTCTTCGGTTTAGAAACCTTCTGCAAGGTCCCTATCCTTGCAGAACTGAGCTTAGACTCCGCAGGAGAGCACCAGCTCCTTCCAGGCCCACCATGGCCTTCAGACCGCCCTCACAGATACTCCGAATGCCACAGCAGACCACCTTGTTCCCCCAAACATCAGGCTCTTCTAAGTCTTCCTGGGGCCTCTGCCATTACTCCCTCCACCTGGTCCAGCTGCCAAACTTCTACTCGAGCTTCAAGGCCCAGCTCAGTCACTCTTCTGTGTGGCCTTCCTGGTCCTCTCCCCTCAGACAAAATGAACTGCGCCCTCATCTGCCCTCCCGTCTTTTACACACACTGTCACAATCCCACTGATTCATAACTGTCTATGTGCAGCCTTTCCTCGTGCTATTCAGAGGGTGATCTGCACTCCAGCACCACCGATGTTGCCTGGGAGCCTGTAACACAGAATCACCCACTCCAGCCCAGACCCCCTGAATCAGAACCTGCCTTCAAACAAGATCCCCAGGTGCAGACTCTACACCAGTGGGTCTCAGCTCTGGCTGTGCCTCATCCGTGCCCAACCCAGGTCACTGCAAACCACCCCCCTAGCCCCCACCCCCAGGTGAATCTAATGGGAAGCCAGGGCTGGGAGCCACAGCTCAGGGGCTGCTAGCTGAGGGCAGGGACTCATCAAGTACGCATCTACTCCCCTGCCCACCGTGCCTGGCACACAGCTGTGCCCACAGAATTCCACAACAAAAATACCCTCCAGGATGCCCCTAGACCTGACCGCCTCTAAAAGAGAACAGAAACTCTAATGACAGAGGACGAGCCATTGCCTAGAACTCCACAAGGCCCTACAGTCATCGAGATGGACGTAGAAGGGGTCTGTGTTTCCAGTCCACTTGCCTCAGTTTCTGGAACTGAAACAGAAACTGAAGTGGAAAACACAGATGAACCAGAAGTACTGTCTGCCTTCACGGGACCGCGGCTGCCGCGGGAAGGCAGAGTCTGTGTGGGCATGGGGTGCACGGGGCTGAGAAGCCCTGGGTTATGACTGAAACCCCGGGCTGGGGGCCCGACTCCTTCAATACTGACCCCAACCACACAGCATTGTTCTTACTGCAAGACCAGGCCAAGCCTCTCATTTTACAAATAAGGGAACTGAGGTCCAGAGAAGCTGGCAAGGCCACACCAGCAGTCAGGAACCAAAGAAGGCCTCGGCGCTCCCTTCTGGGTTAGTCCTGCCCCTGCAGCACAGGGGACCTGACTGCCCAGCTCTGCCATGAGCACAAGCCTCTTCCGACTTCAGGTCCTGATATGCATGAGGAGGTCTCATCCAACCTTGACCTTCTAGCGAGGCAGAGTAACTTAACGAGGTAAGGAGCTTGTGTTCTGGAGTGGAACAGACCTAGGTTTGGATCCCAGTTCTAAGAATTTCCTTATCTGTTAAATGGGGATTCGAATCAACCCTACTCCATAAAGTTGCTGTGAACATTGGGTGGGATTATATACGTAAATCATTTAAGCATAATACCTGACACAGAGTAAGCAGAATTCCAACAGTGTGAACTTGAAGAAGTTGCAAAAGCACTGTAACCATGTTTCCCTGGCATAAAAAAGCCCTACCTGCCAGGCTTTAGTATACTGATGACAGAATGAGAGAACATATGTGAAGGCAATCGGGGAGGAAAATCAATATAAAATTCTTCTTCTTCTTATTTTTCTCCTAGCAGAAGAACCTTGGAGAGCTTCATAGTCAGTTCCAGAGCATGGCCTATACAATGCCTGGCACATAACAGGTGCTCAACAAATCTTTTCTAGTGACTCAATTAAAACCAGTATGTCTAATGGGTTTACAAACTCTGGCTGCTTAAGCAGTCAGACGGGTAAGTAAATACGCCAAGCAGCATCTATGTGGGAACTGTAGCCAACTACGAAGTACCCCCCTACCCCTGCAGAGGAATCCAAATCCGCACTTGGAAACACATTACCCAGCGTGGCCTAGACAGCCACTGCAGCCTCTGCACACCACTGTCTCCGGTTCTTCATTACACCGCCCGGTGTCCTGCACCTCATCTAATCATTCTGTGGTCTGGTCTGGTCTTTCCAAGTACCCAGTAGGCGTCCTGAAGATGAGGGCTGTGATCTATACTCCCCAGCCACCCTAAATGGCCTAGAACAGTGCTGGCCTCACGGGAGTGGGGACCTCAACTCAGTGAGCAACTGTTGAACTGAACAGCCAGACTGTTGACTCAGGCCCTGTACAAGATGCTGCGGCCTGGGTACATTTTTCTACCCAGGTGCCGGGACCAGGCTGAGTTGGTGCTGAATGTGCTGAGCTCCAGTGACTGGATCAAGAAGCACTGGCCTTGCAGGTTTTTTCTTCAACTGCATCAAATCCACTTGTTCCTGAGCCACCTAGGCAGGTGGTACTGATGCACCCAGACACACTGTCTCTTCATGGATGAAACCGAATATGCAGACACCCACAGGTGCCATTGTTTTCTAGAAGTTTAGCCCCCACTTCCTGCACCCCCAGACTCCCCTGGCACCTTCTCGAGGCAGCATAGGGTACAGAAGGACCAAACTCCACATGAACAGATGGAGGTCCTGGTCCTCACCTTGCCTCCTCCCCTCACAAAGTTTAGGATGGTTGCTGGCAGGCAACATAACTTCTAGGAGCTTCATTACGTTTACTAGTAAAATGCAGACAACAATAATTATCTCAAAAGGTTAAAGGCAATTAAATGCCACAGGTATGTAAAGCTTCTAGCACTGCTCGCCCCTACGTGTGGCTATTGAGCACCTGTAATGTGTTTACCATGAGCTGAGATGGGCTCTAAGTGTAGAACACAGGCCAGATTTCAAGGGCTTAGTACACACACAGAAATGTGAAATATTAATAATGCTTTTAACACTGAGTATATGTCAAAAGAATATCATTCTGGAATCTATTAGGTTAAGTAAAATATATTACAAAACGTAATGTCGCTTGTTTCTTTTTGCTTTCTTAATGTGGCTACTAAAAATTCTGTAACTACAGATATTGCATTATCTTTCCATCGGACAGCATTATTCTAGCACAGAGCCTGGCACAGTTTTTGTGTAGGACATCAGAGACGACTCACACCTTGTTCCTCCTACCAGAGCCAAGTCCTCCATTCATTTAGTACATATTTACAGTGCCTGGCTCTGGGCAAGATGCTGGAGATACAAGGAGCAAAAGCAGACACTATCTTTTTCCTTGTGGACCTTATTATCTGGTGGGAACAGACAGACATGAATATTTTCATAAATAAATGTAAAACCGCAGCTCTTCAAGTGTTGTGAAGGAGAAGTACAGAGGGTGATGAAAGTGGGGAATTCACTGGGTGGGGGAATCGAGGACCAGGGACTCCTCCTGGGGAAGTGATACTTGAGTGGAGATTTCAAAGATAAAGGGGAGTTGACAGGAATAAGCCAGGCGGGGAAGATAAGCCCAGGGAGCAGGAAGGCTGAGGGTGAAGACCCTGAGTTGGGCCAGGGCTTGGTATGTAGAAGGAACACGAAAAGACCAGTATGACAAGAGAATTGGGCAAGAGGGGTTAGTAGACTGAGACTAGGGAGGAGAGGTCGGTGGGATTCCATCTCCAGGGCTTGGGTGAGGATCTGGGGCTGGCCCTGCAGGAGGTGGAAGCCAGCCAGTTACAAGCAACCGAGCGTCCGGATCTGATCTGTATTTTGAAAAGATCCCTCTGACCACGGTGCGAAGCCCGCTGGGGAGCGGCGCAAGTGCCTGTGTGCAGATCGGTTATGCACACTGCATTAATCCAGGTAAGAGGCGAGAGATGCCTGAACTGAGGAGGAAGCGGCGGAGATGCAAGTAGACGGTCTGGGGGGGGCGGTCACTGAGCCGGCCGGATCGACGGGGCGGGGTGATGAGCAGTGTCTGTGTGTGTAGGAGGGGGTGGCGATGTCAAGGGAGACTCCGAGGCTTCGGATGGGTGCCACCCAGCCCCAAACACTCTTTGGGCTCCTATCGAGCCCTCTCGCATCTGGTCCCTCTCCCGTACCCTCCCTCCCCGCACCGTCTCGTCTCGCCCCCGGGTTTCATCCTCCCACCCTCCTCCTCCCCTACCCCGCGACCCCTACCCGGCCCAGCCCCCGCTCCTCTAGGCCTGGTCCGCCCTCTTCCCTACCCGTCGTCGACCCTTCTGGGTCGGAGACCCAGTGACCCTCTGGCCTGGCGGACCCACTTGGGCCGCAACCCCTCAGGGGCTTGTCGAACCTGCGCGGTGCATCCCAGGCCGGCCCTCTCCAGCCCCCCAGGCCCCTGGGCAGAAGCAGGCCGCAGCCCTCCGCCTACTTCCCGGCCCGGCCTCTCCGCCCCGCGTCCCTCGGGCCAGGGCCCTCCCCGCGGCCTGGCGCGCCCCGACCCCCGGCGCGTCCCACACTCACCAGGGAGCCGACCTAGGCCCAGCTCCCGCGCCCAGGTCTCTCAGCCGCCGCTCCACTAGCCTCCGCCGGCCCCGCCTTCTCGGGGCCCCGCCCCACGCAGGCCGACCCGGGCTCCTATTGCTCCATTTCACCGTCACGCTGAACTCTCCTTCTTCAATTGGGTTGGTTGCCTCTCACTCAAAAGAGGGCGGGACCAGCTGCCGGGGCTGGGAGCGAGGAGCCGCCGGTCCCCGCCCTGCTAGCGGAGGCCTCTTAAAGACACAGGCTGTCTCCCCCGCCGCGGGCTATGGGTTTTGGAAGAATGGGATTTCTCAGCAAACGCAAGAGGCTGCATTTCTTTCCCCCCATCCCCCCATCGCTCCCCGAAACTTTTCTTTTGGCACAGCCCGTGTTCCTTGTCATAAATCAGAGGTTTTGAGGGCTCAGATGTCCTCTGGTGGCACTCAGCCCTGTGCCCAGCACGCATGTAACGCACTCAACAGTGGGATAAGTGTGGTTTGGAGAACTGAGTGGGAGGTGACAGTCGTGTCAGAGGCTTTGAGCAGCCGCGGCTGCTCACCACCGAGCCGGAGCTAATTATACCGGCACCCAGGGCTGACGGTGGGCGCGGAGCAGAGGCAGAGGGGTACAGCTCAGCTGTACTGTTGGTAGGGACCCGTGGGAGGTGGTATTCGTCACTGCACCTGCAGATCGGAACAAGGCTGGGCACTGCGCCAGCGCCTCACTCGTGCCACGTCCCTTTACACTCACAGCCACTCTGATGTAGGTGTTATGTGGGTCCCCTGATCGTACAACTAGTGATGGGCAGAGCAAGAGGCCAGCCTGTGCTTGTTTGATTCTAAAGTCTATGCTCTAACCATTTTGTCTCACAGATCCTTACAACCACCCCGAGGGGTGGGTATTTTGTTGTCCGTTTTATAGATGCTCAAGGGAGAGACTCAATAATGAAACTGATACTCAGCAAAGACACTAAATAACGACTGCCATTTATATAGCACTTCACAGTCTGCAAAGCATCTGAAAAGCAGTTTTACATATATTGTTTCATTTGATCCTCAAAACATCTTGGAACTGAAGATGGTATTTATTAGTCCTCTTTTACTGGTGAATACAACGATGCTCACGGAGGTTGAGGCTTAGTAATAGCTAACATCACTACAGCCCTTGCAGAAGTCACCAGCAAACTTTCCATAAATATCCAGATAGTGAATGCTTTTCGCTATACAGTCTCTGTCAAAACTGTTCAGCTGTGCTGTTGTAGTGTGAAAGCAGCCACAGACAATGTAAACCCATGAGGGTGACTGTGTTCCAATGCAGCTTTATTTACAAAATAAATAGGCGTTGGCCTGTGGCTGTAAGTTGCCCACCCCCAGTCTACAGTGCTTTGGTTACCAAAGCCTTTTACAGACCATTGCTTTGTGGAACCCTCACAGCAACATTGTTATTATTCATACTCTTCTTTTTAATTATTAATGAATTATTACTGTTTTTTAAAAATAAATAAATTTATTTATTTATTGGCTGCGATGGGTCTCGGTTGCTGCGTGCGGTCTTTCTCTAGTTGCGGCGAGCAGGAGCTACTCTTCGTTGTGGTGCACGGGCTTCTCATTGTGGTGGCTTCTCTTGTTGTGAAGCATGGGCTTCAGTAGTTGTGGCGCGCAGGCTTAGCTGCTCCATGGAATGTGGGATCTTCCTGGACCAGGGCTCGAACCCGTGTCCCCTGCATTGGCAGGCGGATTCTCCACTGTGCCACCAGGGAAGCCCGAATTATTATTGTTGATGATGTTATCATCCTCATCATTTTACAAAGAAAAATCAAAGGCTTCGCAAGGTTAAGGAGTATACCTGAGGTCAACTCAGGAACTAGAACTCAGGTCCAGCTTTCCTCATTCCCAATTTCATCTTCTGACTACAAAACTGGGTTGTGAGAAGGCATGAGAGTTCCACCTTCGTCTAGCAGATCTTTTTCCTGCCCCATTGCAAGATGACAGGCCAAGTTCATTTTACCTTTCCCAGGCTCCAGGGGTAACTCCTGTAATTCCCCTCTTCGGGGACATTCTCCCACTTCTTCCTGCCTTCCCCATTTACTGCAGCCCATAAACACCTCTCCCTCCCTGAACCCCCAAGGGCTTATACCCAGCAACCTTTTATATTTTTATCACTTTTTAAAAACTTTTTATTTTACATTGGAGTATAGTTCATTAACAATGTTGTGTTAGTTTCAGGTGTACAGCAAAGTGATTCAGTTATACATATGCATGTGTCTATTCTTTTTCAAATTCTTTTCCCATTTAGGTTGTTACATAATATTGAGCAGAATTCCCTGTGCTATACAATAGGTCCTTGCTGGTTATCTATTTTAAATATAGCAGTGTGTACATGTCAATCCCAAACTCTCTAACTCTCCCCCCCCCCACCTCCCCTGGTAACCATAAGTTCGTTCTCTAGTCTGTGAGTATGTTTCCCCAGCAGCCTTTTATTACTAAGAATAGAATCTGCTGGAAAATAGGCTCCACGTGGGCAATGACTTCCGTGGAGTCTGCTAGCTGTCCGCCAAAACCCCTTCTCCCAGCCTTGTGACGATGATAATGTGCTAGGGGATGATAGGATCACCAAATAGAAAGTGTCAGTGTCCCTGAATGGAGCAGAATGCTACCTGCTGACCTGGAACAATTCTAGATCGCTTCATACTCTCATGTGAAAGAGAAGTAATCCTTGTTCTTTAAGCCACTGATTTTTTGGGAGGAGAGGGGGTTGAGTGAAAGCTTCCTTAAATTTTGTGCTCTGGGTATCTCACTTGCTTCACGGTAGTCCTGGCCCTGCTCAGTACACATTTATCCAAGGAATAAATCATTCACTTTAGCTTTACAATACTTTGTCTCTTCCCCCCCCCCCCATTTGCCAGTGCAGGTTCTTTAATTGCAAGTTTCAGGAACCAACTCTGATAAGGAGTATATTGGCAGGCTAGTAGCTAATTCACAGAGGTGACAGGAAGCTGGAGGACTAGGCTTAGAAAAGGCTGGAGATGCTTTGGGCATTTAGATAGGCAAAATGCATTAGTTCCATCCTTTTGTCCCCTTTCTTTTTTATTTTATTTTATTTTATTTTTTAACATCTTTATTGGAGTATAATTGCTTTACAATGGTGTGTTAGTTTCTGCTTTATAACAAAGTGAATCAGTTATACATATACATATGTTCCCATATCTCTTCCCTCTTGTGTCGCCCTCCCTCTCACCCTCCCTATCCCACCTCTCCAGGTGGTCACAAAGCACCGAGCTGATGTCCCTGTGCTATGCGGCTGCTTCCCACTAGCTATCTACCTTACGTTTGGTAGTGTGTATATGTCCATGCCTCTCTCTCGCTTTGTCACAGCTTACCCTTCCCTCTCCCCATATCCTCAAGTCCATTCTCTAGTAGGTCTGTGTCTTTATTCCTGTCTTACCCCTAGGTTCTTCATGACATTTTTTTTTCTTAAATTCCATATATATGTGTTAGCATACGGTATTTGTCTTTCTCTTTCTGACTTACTTCACTCTGTATGACAGACTCTAGGTCTATCCACCTCATTACAAATAGCTCAATTTCGTTTCTTTTTATAGCTGAGTAATATTCCATTGTATATATGTGCCACATCTTCTTTATCCATTCATCCGATGATGGACACTTAGGTTGTTTCCATCTCCGGGCTATTGTAAATAGAGCTGCAATGAACATTTTGGTACATGACTCTTTTTGAATTATGGTTTTTCTCAGGGTATATGCCCAGTAGTGGGATTGCTGGGTCATATGGTAGTTCTATTTGTAGTTTTTTAAGGAACCTCCATATTGTTCTCCACAGTGGCTGTATCAATTTACATTCCCACCAACAGTGCAAGAGGGTTCCCTTTTCTCCACACCCTCTCCAGCATTTATTGTTTCTAGATTTTTTTGATGATGGCCATTCTGACTGGTGTGAGATGATATCTCATTGTAGTTTTGATTTGCATTTCTCTAATGATTAGTGATGTTGAGCATTCTTTCATGTGTTTGTTGGCAGTCTGTATATCTTCTTTGGAGAAATGTCTATTTAGGTCTTCTGCCCATTTTTGGATTGGGTTGTTTCTCCCCTTTCTTGAGCAGACCGTTTTTTGTTTTTTTTTTTGCAGTACGCGGGCCTCTCACTGCTGTGGCCTCTCCCGTTGCGGAGCACAGGCTCCGGACACGCAGGCTCAGCGGCCATGACTCATGGGCCCAGCCGCTCTGCGGCACGTGGGATCCTCCCAGACCGGGGCACGAACCTGTGTCCCCTGCATCGGCAGGCGGACTCTCAACCACTGTGCCACCAGGGAAGCCCATCAGATCAGACCTTTCTTTGATCAGAGTCAAGGTCCCTGG